TTATAATATATGTCTTTTATTTATGTTTTATCATGAAGTGTTTTAACTATGTTGAGCCCTGCCTCGAGCCACAGGAAGAGTTGAGCAAGAAATAAAATTATTATTATTAGAAACACAACAAGATGAGTTCACAGCAAACAAGGTCACTCTGCTGGCTGTTGTATTGGATCACATGTCGGACACTTCCCAAGTGTCTAGGACTGTGGGATGTATCGGCAAATAATGTGTGCAGATCCCAGTAAGGTGGCTTTCTGGAGTTGACAGGTGGGGATTCTGTCAGCGAAAATTGTTTTTAAGTGCAGTCCAAGGTCTTGAGGTGCTGCACCTAGTGTGCCAATCACCACTGGGACCCCCTTGACTGGCTTGTGCTAGAATCTTTGCAATTCCATTTTTCAATCCTCGTCTCGTGTCAGCTTTTCCAGTTGTTTCTATTCAATCCTGCTTTTGCCTGGGTTTGCAACATCGACGATCCATACTTGTTTTTTTGACACGATTGTGAGGTCAGAAGTATTATTCTCCAAAACTCTGTCAGTCTGGATTCAGAAGTCCCAGAGTAGTTTGACATGTATCGTCGAAGGCTTTCGTGGCCGGAATCACTGGGTTGTTGTAGGTTTTTTCGGGCTATATGGCCATGGTCTAGAGGCATTTTCTCCTGACGTTTCGCCTGCATCTATGGCAAGCATCCTCAGAGGTAGTGAGGTCTGTTGGAAGTAGGAAAATGGGTTTATATATCTGTGGACTGACCAGGGTGAGACAAAGGACTCTTGTTTGCTGGAGCTAGGTGTGAATGTTTCAACTGACCACCTTGATCAGCATTTAATGGCTTGGAAGTGTCTGGGGGAATCTTTTGTTGAGAGGTGATTTGATGTGCCTGATTGTTTACTCTCTGTTGTTTTGCTGTTGTAATTTTTGAGTTTTTAATACTGGTAGCCAGATTTTGTTCATTTTCATGGTTTCCTCCTTTCTTTGTCCACATGCTTAAGGATTTCAGTGGCTTCTCTGTGTAGTCTGACATGGTGGTTGTTACAGTGGTCCAGCATTTCTGTGTTCTCAAATAATATGCTGTGTCCAGGTTGGTTCATCAGGTGCTCTGCTATGGCTGACTTCTCTGGTTGGAGTAGTCTGCAGTGCCAGACTACACAGAGAAGCCACCGAAATCCTTAAGCATGTGGACAATTTCAACAGAAAGGAAGAAACCATGAAAATGAACAAAATCTGGCTACCAGTATTAAAAAACTCAAAAATTACAACAGCAAAACAACAGAGAGTAAACAATCAGGCACATCAAATCACCTCTCAACAAAAGATTCCCCCAGGCACTTCCAAGCCATTAAATGCTAATCAAGGTGGTCAGTTGAAACATTCACACCTAGCTCCAGCAGACAAAAGTCCTTTGTCCCACCCTGGTCATTCCACAGATATATAAACCCATTTTCCTACTTCCAACAGACCTCACTACCTCTGAGGATGCTTGCCATAGATGCAGGCGAAACGTCAGGAGAAAATGCCTCTAGACCATGGCCATATAGCCCGAAAAAACCTACAAGAACCCAGTTTGACATGTTCATTCTCTGTAAATTTTTTCATCTTGTGATCTCACCAGTTCTTTGTCGCAGGAAGATGGTGTTTGTGGCACAGGTTCCAATGAATCATCTGAGCAACGGTGTTGTGCCTCTGCTTGTAGTCTGTCTGCACGATCTTCTTGCAGCAGCTGAGGATGTGATCTATTGTTTTATCTGCAGAGTCTACACTTGGCATCTGTAATGTGGTCTTCCTCTGTTGCCTTCTACTTTATTATTAACTAGCTTGGGGACCCGGCGCTGCCCGGGTTATTTGAGAAAGGAATTGTGTATCAAGGTTGGTCTTTATCAGTTATTTATATGGCTCGCAGTGGTCTCAGGAAGTTAGTGAAGGTACTGCGAGTCCCATCATCTGTGGTCCATTCTCCTCAAAACTGCACCAGGATGGAGAGTGGGTCATGGGGGCTCTGTGTGCCAAGTTTGGTCTTGATCAGTCATTGGATGAGGGTTGCAGTGGTCTCAGAAAGTGAGTTGAAGTACTGCAAGTCCCACCATCCATAGTCTTTTCTCTCCCAAACCTCACCAGGATGTTCAGTTGGCCATGGGGGCTCTCTGTGCCAAGTGTGGTCTTTATTGGTATTTGGATGAGTGTCGCTGTGGTCTCAGGAAGTGAGTGAAGTTACTGCAAGTTCCATCATCCATCTCCAAATTCTTCCAAACCACACCAGGAGGTAGAGTGGGTCATGCAGGCTCTCAGTGTGAATTGTGGTCCTGATCCATCATTTTTGGCAGTTGTATTGGTCTTAGGAAGGGAGTGCAGGTATTGCAAGTCCCATCATCCATGGTGCATCCTCCTCCAAACCGCACCAGGATGTAGAGTGCGTCATAGAGACTCGGTGTGCCAAGTTTGGTCTTTTTCGATAATTGGATGAGGGTTGCAGTGGTCTCAGGAATTGAACAAAGGTACTGCAAGTCCCATAATCCATGGTCCATCCTTGGCCAAACCACACCAGGACGTAAAGTGGGTCATGAGAGGTCTATTTGCCAAGTTTGGTCTTGACCAGTCATAGGATGAGGTTCACAGTGGTCTCAGAAAGCTAGTGATAGAACCGCAAGTCCCATCATCCATAGTCCATCCTCCTCCAAACTGCAGTAGGATGTAGAGTGGGTCATGGGGGCTCTGTGTGCCAAGTTTGGTCTTTATTGGTAATTGGATGAATGTTGCTGTGGTCTCAGGAAGTGAGTGAAGGTACTGCAAGTCCCATCATCCATGGTCCATCCTCCTCCAAAAAGCACCAGGATGTAGAGTGGGTCTTGCGGGCTCTGTGTGCCAAGTTTGGTCTGTATTGGTAATTTTCTGACACAGCCTCAGCCCTTTTTCTCTCCTCTCATCACATCAGAATCTTGGAACTTTCAGGCTGGCCAATCAGAGACCAATATGCAAATAGTATCACAGTGGCAGCCAATCAGAAAGCTGGCACATACACCGCCCTACGTCCGCCACACTTCCGCCGGCCGCATACAAACACTGACTTTTATTATATACATAGATAATATTTGAAACACAATAAGATGAGTCCACAGCAAACAAAATAATAATAATAATAATAATAATAATAATTATTATTATTATTATACAATGCTTTTCTTGCTCCAAAAAAGAGACTGAAATTGGCTCACAATAAACCCAATGCAGTACAATTTTAAACCTACAAATATATGAATATTTTTCATGGGCGGATGCCTAAGTAATAAATCAATAAGGCTGGGTTGGGATTAAACTGCTATCCAAAACTAGCATTAAAGCCAATGGAGTTTGAGAATAAAGGGCTTTCCATTATTTATATGCCATGTAAAATCGCCTAATGAGGCACAATTACGGCGTATAAATCTCGAAATAACAGAGGAAGCGGAGTGTCGAGAGAAAACCAGCACCACAAACAAGGGCAGCCTGGCAACTGTTCCGAACCGACCCGAACCCATCGGAATTGAGTTTGTTTGGCTTGCTTGCCTTCTCTCGGCAGTTACAACTGTATGCGAAGGTGGAAACGGAGGCTGAAGCCGGCACGCCCCTTGCTTTGGCAATAAGGGGCTACGCAGTTTGGAATGTCAAGTAGATAATCAATGAGAGAAAGGGACCATCGAGACTCTTGCACATGGTCTCCCTGCTGCCTCTTTGGCCTGTTCCAAATACCTGCCCCTGAATGATTGTCAAGAACAAACATGATTTCATATATGTGTTGTCGAAAGCGTTCATGGCCGGAATCACTGGGCTGCTGTGAGTTTTCTGGGCTGCCTAGCCATGTCCCAGTAGCATTCTCTCCTGACATTTTGCCTGCATCCTCAGAGGTTGTGAGGTCTGTGGAAAATGAGGCAACCATACTGTGTGTGTGTGAATCTGTGGAATGATATCCAGAGTGGGAGAAAGAACTTTTGTCTGTTAGTGGCAAGTGTGAAAGTTGCAATTGGCCACCTTGAGTGTTTGAGGACATCCGTAGGGTGACCAAGGAGCTTGTTGATAAAGCTATTGTCCTCCCAACCCTGATCTATTTATTTATTTATTTATTTGCGACATTTATATGCCGCCCTTCTCACCCTGAAGGGGACTCAAAGCGGCTTACAAGTAAAAAGTAAATACAATATATTATATTACCATAGCACAATATCAACATTATATATTACATTGTATTATAACATTATACTGTAATATTAATAATATTACATTTAATATAATATATATAATTATAATATCATATTATTAGTAGTATTATATTGTATTACATTATAATATTATCAATATTATATGTATATACAATATATTATATTATATTATATTATTATATTATATTATATTATATTATATTATATTATATTATATTATATTATATTATTATATTATTATATTATAAGCACAGTGCAGGAGACAAGATGGAACTGCCTTCCTGGCCCCTCTCTTCACTCTGATCTCAGAGCAACTGATGACACTGGAGGCAAGTTGGAACTGCCTTCATGGCCCCTCTCTTCATGATCTACGCCTGCAAAACGTGGACTGTCTACAGACGGCATACGCAACTCCTGGAACGATTCCATCAGTGTTGCCTCCGGAAAATCCTGCAAATCTCTTGGGAAGACAACCGGACGAACGTCAGCGTGCTGGAAGAAGCAAAGACCACCAGCATTGAAGCGATGGTCCTCCGCCATCAACTCCGCTGGACCGGCCACGTTGTCCGGATGCCTGACCACCGTCTCCCAAAGCAGTTGCTCTACTCCGAACTCAAGAACGGAAAACGGAATGTTGGTGGACAGGAAAAGAGATTGAAAGATGGGCTCAAAGCCAACCTTAAAAACTGTGGCATACACACTGAGAATTGGGAAGCCCTGGCCCTTGAGGGCTCCAACTGGAGGTCAGCTGTGACCAGCAGTGCTGCAGAATTTGAAGAGGCACGAATGATGGTTTGACATACTTCTGTAGTAACCTACCAGCAACATTGCTGAAGTCCCATTCGGCCGGGAGAGATGGATGGACATTTCGGGAAACATTCGATCAATGCGGCTGATCACGTCGTCAACGTACCTACAAAAAGGAAGGCAGTCGTTACAACAACAGTCACACTTCAAATAAACCCCAAACGACATCTATTTCATTATGGTTGTTGACTGGTGCAGAGTACAGTGTTCTCTCACTTTCTGCTGGTGTTACATTCCAGGACCACCCGGGAAAACTGAAAATCCGCAAAGTAGGAACGCTCTATATATATGTATAAATATGTATATGCATGTATGTGTGAGTGTGTGTGTGTGTATATACATACATACATACATACACATACACACACACACACACACACACACACACACACACACACACATATACACACATACACACCAGCTGTACCCACCACGCGTTGCTGTGGCCAACCTTCCCTCCCTCTTTCTCTCCTTCCTTCCCTCTTTCCTTCCTTTCCTCTTTTTCTTTCCCTATCTCTCTTTTTTTTTGCTAGCTATAAGGAAGGGGCTATAAGGCCGTGATTTACATACTGCTTTGCATCTCCCCTAGGGAGGAGGGAGCAAGTTTGTTTTCTGCTGCCCTGGAGATTAGGATGCAATGGAATAATGGCTTCAAACTACAAGAAAGGAGATTCCATCTGAACATTAGGAAGAACTTCCCGATAGTGAGAGCTGTTCAGCAGTGGAACTCTCTGCCCTGGAGTGTGGTGGAGGCTCCTTCTTTGGAGGCTTTTAAACAGAGGCTGGGTGACCATATGTCGGGGGTGCTTTGAAATTTATTTTTTATTTATTTACTACACTTTTTCCACCCTTTTCAGCCTGAAGGCTGTTTCTTGGCAGAATGGGATTGGTCTGGATGGCCCACGAGGTATCTTCCAACTCTAGGATTCTATGTCTCCTCTCAGCCTTCTCTTCTGAAAGCTAAACATTTATTTATTATTTACTAGCCGTCCCCTGCCATGCGTTGCTGTAGCCCACATGGGGGTTCTGTGTGGGAGGTTTGGCCCAATTCTATTGTTGGTGGGGTTCAGAATGCTATGTGATTGTAGGTGAACTATAAATCCCAGCAATTGTCAAGATTCTATTTTTCCCAAACTCCACTAGTGTTCACATTTGGGCATATTGAGTATTCATGTAGAGTTTGGTCCAGATCCATCACTGTTTGAGTCCACACGGATCTCTGGATGTAGGTGAACTACAACTCCAAAACCAAAGGACACTGGCCACCAAACCCTTCAGGTATTTTCTGTTGCTCATGGGAAAACTGTGTGCCAAGTTTGGTTCAATTCCATCATTGGTGGGGTTCAGTATGCTCTCTGATTGTAGGTGAACTATAAATCCCAGCAACTACAACTCCCAAATGACATGCATTGGGTTGTTAGGTGTCTTGTGTTCAAATTTGGTGTCAATTCGTCCAGTGGTTTTTGAGTTCTGTGAATCCCACAAACGAACACTACATTTTTATTTATATAGATTTACAGCATTTTTACCCCACCCTTCTCAACCCTCAAGGGGGACTCAGAGCAACTAACGTAGGCAGCAATTCGACGCCACAATAAAAAAACACCAGAATAAAACATAAACACACTAAAAGTTAAAAACAGTAACCATTAGTTGTATCATCAGAAGCTGATGGCCATCTGTCAGGGGTGCTTCTTGGCAGGGGGTTGGACTGGATGGCCCATGAGGTCTCTTCCAACTCTATGATTCTACGATTCTATGATCACACAATCACGTAATCACATATCCGTTTCCAAATTATCATAACAGTAATCAAGACCAGTTCCATGTTCAAAGTGCTGCTACACCCATTAGCCAAAGGCCTGGTGCCATAACCACGATTTTAGTTTTTTCCTGAAGGAAAGGAGGGAGGATGCCGATCTAACCTCGCTGGGGAGCGAATTCCACAAGTGTGTGTGTGTGTGTGGGGGGGGGGGGGGTGTCACCACCAAGAAGGCCCTGTCCCTCGTCCCCACCGGACGCATTTGCGAAGCCAGTGGGACCGAGAGCAGGGCCTCTCCAGCAGATCTTAGACTACGAGGTGGAACATAGAGGGAGATACATTTGGATAAGTAAGCTGGGCCGGAACTATATAGGGTCCAGCTCTTTAAACTGTTCCTCATAGGGCTTGTACACCAGACCCTTGATCCTGTGAGTTGCCCTCCTTTCCTCACCTTGTTGATGGGAAGCTTCCCACCGGAGTGGAAATCATCTATCAGACAGATGGCAAGCTATTCAACCTCAGCAGACTGAAAGCCAAAACCAAGGTTACAACAACATCTGTTATAGAACTCCAGTATGCTGATGACAACGTTGTCTGTGCGCATTCAGAAGAAGACCTACAAGCCACTCTAAACACCTTCGCAGAAGCATACGAGAAGCTCGGCCTGTCATTGAATATCAAAAAAACCAAGGTGCTGTTCCAGCAGACACCAGCCAACCCCTCTCCAATGCCAGCGATACAGCTTAATGGTGTAACATTAGAAAATGTTGATCATTTCCGCTCCCTTGGCAGCCACCTCTCCACCAAAGTCAACATCGACACTGAAATACAACACCGCCTGAGTTCTGCGAGCGCAGCATGTTTCTGAATGAAGCAGAGAGTGTTTGAGGACCGGGACATCCGTAGGGATACCAAGGTGCTTGTTTATAGAGCTATAAACCCTGCTATATGCCTGTGAGACGTGGACTGTCTACAGACGTCACATGCAACTCCTGGAACGAGTCCATCAGTGCTGCCTCCGGAAAATCCTGCAAATCTCTTGGAAAGACAGGCGGACAAATGTCAGTGTGCTGGAAGAAGCAAAGATGGTCCTCTGCCATCAACCACGTTGTCCGGATGCCCAACCACCATCTCCCAAAGCAGTTGCTCTACTCCGAACTCAAGAACGGAAAACGGAATGTTGGTGGACAGGAAAAAAGATTTAAAGATGGGCTCAAAGCCAACCTTAAAAACTCTGGCATAGACACTGAGAACTGGGAAGCCCTGACCCTTGAGCACTCCAGATGGAGGTCAGATGTGACCAGAAGTGCTGCAGAATTTGAAGAGGCACGAATGGAGGGTGAAAGGGAGAAGTGTGCCAAGAGGAAGGCGCGTCAAGCCAACACTGCCTTCCACCTGGAAACCAATGCCCTCACTGCGGAAGAAGATGCAGAGTAAGAATAGGGGTCCACAGCCACATACGGACCCACAAGAATATTGGAAGACAATCCTCCTCGGAAAACGAGGGATCGCCTAAGTAAGTAAGTAAGTAAGCCCTCCTTTGGACACATTCCAGCTTAGAGTCAACATCTCCCTTCAATTATGGTGTTCGGAATTGGACACAGTATTTCAGGTGTGGTCTGACCAAGGCGGAATGGAGCATGGGGAGCATGACTTCCCTGGATCTGGACACTAGACTTGTATGAACTGAGAAACAGAGAGGCCTAGTACGGATACTGCCCTGAGTATAATCCTCCAGGAATGCGCGCATACACACATACACACGCTGAGTTCCTTACTCGCTGGACTTAATTTCAGTGTTCATTTGAAGGGCTGAGCAGTTTATCCTGCGATCATAACACTCTGATTAATAATACAAGCCTCAGGGCGGCAGGCAGGCAGCCAGCTCCACTCCTTCGGAAGCCTAAGGGACCCCAGATTAGTCCTGACGACCGTGAAAGTTTTAATTCTACTATTTTTAAAAACTAGTGAGAAACAAGACGAGAATCACACCAGGCCTTCCCAAAGAACGGATTGCAGTTTTTGGGTTGTTTTTTTGATGACGAGGAGAGCACCTTCAGAAGGTGAAGGAGGGCTTCCAGAAGCCCAAGGCGAGGTGAGATTTTCGAAATGCCGAGTGCGCCGATTAATTGGCGCAGGAAGGTGGAAGGAACGGAGGCAAGGAGCCATTTCGGAAGACGGTCACCCCGCCAACACTCTCGCATCCAAAGAAAAGGCGGCAGAAAACTCCCCGGTTTGATGGAAAGGCGCGCTTGGGTTCCACGCCGGACAGATGGCTTCCTTCTCCAGCCTGACCTTTCCCGAACACTGGATCCCGTCCAGCCATGCGAGTGTTACGGCGTTATGTTTAGCAGCTCCGCCCGCGCCTCCATCGCATTTCTCCCACACAGTGTGTACGAGGCATGCTGTTCATTTCTCGATTTCGTACGCAAAGAATCGAAGGAGAAGGAAAAAAGAACGATTCTAAAAAAAAGGGGGACCCCATGGCCTCACTTGACCCCTTGTTCGGTAAAACAAAGACATCTTGGATTGTTTGCGTGGAAAACAATGGATGAGAAGTGCAAAAGCGTGGCTTGGAATACAACCGGGAAGCTTGGCGCACAACCCGAAAATCCAGTCTTTTAAAAATACACATTCCAGTCGAGCATTTAAAAAGCTCACCACTTTTATATAGAAGGAGCTGAGATAAAGATTATTTTTAACCCAAATTTCCACTCGAAAGATTCAGCCCAAATATTCTTTTTTTTTTTTCGCTTGGTTCTGAAATTTTATTGAACATTTTCATCTTAAAAGCGTTTCCTCTTAAGTAGTGGCCACAGCGGCTGCCTGGGTTCTCTGCACAGAGACTCGAGTGGCATGGGTCTTCGCCAGGTGGTCGGTAAATTCCTGATATGGAGATCTGGTGAAGACTGTCTCCTTCCAGAGGTCGGGGGTCAGATAGCTGTAGGTCTTGGAGATGGCGTCAAAAGTGGCCTTGGCAAAGTTGCCCAATGTAGCTGTGCAGCCCCTGGCCGAGGTGTAGCAGTCGTCGATGCCAGCCATCATCAGCAGCTTCTTGGGAACTGGGGCAGAAACGATCCCAGTACCACGTGGTGCAGGGATGAGGCGCACCAGAACTGAGCCACATCGACCGGTGACCTTGCAAGGCATGGTGTGGGGTTTGCCGATCTTGTTGCCCCAGTAGCCCCGCCTGACTGGCACAATAGACAGCTTGGCCAAGATGATGGCCCCCCCGGATGGCAGTGGCCACTTCTTTGGAGCATTTGACACCAAGGCCCACGTGACCGTTGTAGTCGCCAATGGCAACAAAAGCCTTGAACCTGGTTCGTTGACCGGCACGGGTCTGTTTCTGCACCGGCATGATCTTCAAAACCTCATCTTTCAGAGAGGAGCCCAGGAAAAAGTCAATGATTTCAGACTCCTTGACTGGAAGGGAAAAAAAAGGTAGATCTCTTCTAGGGACTTGATCTTCATGTCTTTGACCAAGCTTGGTCAGCCCAAATATTCTTGAGCTACTCATCAGCAATGGAGGGTGACAAACTCATCTCTACGTGTTCATTTATTTTCAGAATGGTCACTGGTTTTCGTGTGATTTACCATATATTCTGGCATATAAGACGACTGGACAAATAAGACGACCCCAACATTTCCAGTTAAAATATAGAGTTTGGGATATATTCACCATATAAGACTACCCCCTCTTCCAATGCACACCAAATAAAATTTTTAAAAGCATCGGATTTGATTTCAATATGGTAATTTTCTTATTACTGTCCCTCCTTCTCTGCCTCTCAGATCTCACACATGCGCATCTGCACCACTTCATTGCAGTCTTCAGGAGCAAGATCTGAGAGGCAGAGGAGGAGGTACGGTAATAGGATACAAAGTCGGGCCAGACAGGTAAAAGAGGTGTGTTTTTCTGGGCCCAGAGCCACTCTATCTCTTTTTTCCATACCCCAAGGTGGACGCCTGCAGCTTGCTCCGCCCTTCACTTACACCTTCCCGGTGAGGCGCCCCTTCACCTCACCATCGGGGCCGAATTAAGTGCACGAATCCTGATGAATGGATTTTCTTCTACCGTACCTGTATAGCGTCGCCCTTAATGCTTTCATACAGTCGCTGCATACGCCAGGGACGCGGCCACTGCCATTTTTGAGCTTTCCCCACAATATGCAGCAACCACAGATTCTCCAATCTGGATTGGAAGTTTCAGCACCCGCTCTATAAGGCGACACCCGGCGTATAAGACTACTCCCGCATATAAAATGACTCCCATGCATAAGGCTACTCCAGCATATAAGACAACTCCCCTGTATAAGACTACTCCCACGTATAAGACGACTCCTGCGTGTAAGGAGCTGAGATAAAGATTATTTTTAACCCAAGGCCTGCCAAGGCAGCTTCCGCCGGGGCTTCTTCCCAGTCACTTCCTCGGGCTTCTTCCTCCGGGGCCGGAGAGGTCCCCGAAGGCAGCTTCCACCGGGGTTTCTTCCCGGGGCTCCTTCCTCTGGGGCTGGAGAGGGCCGTCAAGGCAGCTTCCACCAGGGCTTCTTCCACCAGAGCCCGAAAGGGCCGGCAAGGCAGCTTCCGCCGGGGCTTCTTCCCTGTCACTTCCTGGGGCTTCTTCCTCCGGGACCAGAGAGGTCCCCGAAGGCAGCTTCCACCGGGGCTTCTTCCTCTGGGGCCGGAGAGAACCGCTAAGGCAGCTTCTGCCGGGGCTTCTTCCTCTGGGGTCGGAGATCAAGGCAGCTTCCGTCGGGGCTTCTTCCCAGTCACTTCCCGGGGCTTTTTCCTCCAGGGCCGGAGAGGGCCGCCAAGGCAGCTTCTGCCGGGACTTCTTCCCGGGGCTTCTTCCTCTGGGGTTGGAGAGGGCCGTCAAGGCAGCTTCTGCCGGAGCTTCTTCCCAGTCACTTCCCGGGGCTTCTCCCCCCAGGGCCGGAGAGGGCCGCCAAGGCAGCTTCCACTGGGGCTTCTTCCCATTGCTCTTTCCTCCGGGACCGGAGAGGGCCGTCAAGGCAGCTTCCGCTGGGGCTTCTTCCCTGTCACTTCCTGGGGGTCCTTCCTATGGGGGCCGGAGAGGGCTGTCAAGGCAGCTTCCGCTGGGGCTTCTTCCCTATCACTTCCCGGGGCTTCTTCCTCTGGGGCTGGAGAGGGCCGTCAAGGCAGCTTCCGCCAGGGTTTCTTCCCTGTCACTTCCTGGGGCATCTTCCTTCGGGGCCGGAGAGGGCCCTCAAGGCAGCTTCCGCCGAGGCTTCTTCCTCTGGGGCCGGAGAGGACTGCCAAGGTAGCTTCCGCTGGGGCTTCTTCCTGGGGCTCCTTCCTCTGGGGCTGGAGAGGGCTGTCAAGGTAGCTTCCGCCGGGGCTTCTTCCTTGTCACTTCCCTGGGCTTCTTCCTCTGGGGCCGGAGAGGGCCGCCAAGGCGGCTTCTGCCAGGGCTTCTTCCCAGTCGCTTCCCCGGGCTTCTTCCTCCGAGGCTGAAGAGGGCCACCAAGGAAGCTTCCACTGGGGCTTCTTCTTGGTTGCTCTTCCTTGGGCAACCGGTGAGAGCCCCATGCCATTGGGACAGCAGGGAGGGAGGGAGAAGGGTGGCTCCAGCAAGGGGAGGGGGAGGGAGGAAGTGAGAGGGAAAGAGGAGAGGAAGTGAGGGGGGTAGAGAGAGGAGTGGGCAGAGCTATACTGTACATATACTGTATAGCGTCTCTACATCACGGTTTTTCACTTATCACGGGGGTTCCTGGTGAGGGAACACTGTACATTATTCAGAGGAGGTTGCCACAGGCCTCTACTTTGGAATTTCTAGTATCACCACCTTTACAATAGGTCCTTGTATCAATGCCACAAACAGACCTGCTGCACAACTATCCAAGGTAAGCCTTCTCTAAACAATCGAGCTTCCCTGACTGCCATCTCTAATGCCAAGAGGCCTTTTTTGGACTGCCGACCAGCTCCTTCTTGTGCAATAATTTCAGAAAGCCTTTTGGATGTAGGCAACCAAATCGACGTACTGTCCTTCCTTAAAAGAAGATCCAACCAAAAGCCCTGTTGTCGGGATTTGAGGATGGCCTGGATCTAAACTCCAGTCACAGTTTATTAGACACAATTTATTGCTCCTGGGGCGAACATAAGTAACGCAATCGAAGCAGCATCCCTTGGGCAAGCTCAAGCATGACGTACAGCTCCCCTGTGGATCTCCTCAGTGACATGAATTAACCAACGTTACAAAAGCAAAGGTCTCTTGGGAAATTACATGTCACCCTCCAAGAAGCAGAGAAGAGGCGCTCCCTCCCTCCCTGCCACTGCCCTGGTCTTAGAGGGAAAGGAAGGGCAGGACATGAAGCAGGTGGAAAGACCCCCAACCATCCCAACCGCCACTGCCCTCCATTACTATGGGCTCTGATAGCAATGAAAGAACCTCTCTACATCCCAGAAAGAGATGGAAAACCCTTTCTCCATCCCAACTGCCACTGCCCCGGCCTCAGAGGGAAAGGAGAGGCAGACCCTGCAGTCCATCATGCCTAGAAGCAGGTGGAAGACCCACCCCCACCCCAACTGCTACTGCCTTCCATTACTATGGGCCCAGATGGCAATGAAAGACTCGCTCTCCATCCTTGAAAGAGATGGAACGTCCTTTCTCCACCCCAACTGCCACTGCCCTGGCCTCAGAGGGAAAGGAGAGGAGGGCCCTGAAGTTCATCATGCCTAGAAGCAGATGGAAGGCCACCCACCCACCCCAACTGCCACTGCCCTCCACTACTCTGGGCCCAGGTGGCAATGAAAGGCTCTCTCTCCATACCAACTGCCACTGCCCATGTCTTGGAAGGAGAAGAGAAGAAAACACAGCTCCATGGTGTCGAGGCCTAGAAGCAAGTGAAAGGCCTTCCAATCATCTCCACTTTGCCATACCCAGAGAGATGGAAAGCTTTTTCTCCATCCCAACTGCCACTGCCCTGGCCCCAGAAGGAGAGGAGAGGCAGACCCTGCAGTCCATCATGCCTAGAAGCAGGAGGAAGACCCCTACTCACCCCAACTGTGACTGCCCTCCACTACTCTGGGTCCAGGTGGCAATGAAAGACTCACTCCATCCCTGAAAGAGATGGAAGGTCCTTTCTCCACCCCAACTGGCACTGCCCTGGCGTTAGAGGGAAAGGAGAGGCAGGACCTAAAGCAGGTGGAAAGCCCCCCACCCATCCCAACTGCCCTCCTTTACTTAGAGTTGATGGCAGAGGACCATCGCTTCAGTGCTGGTGGTCTTAACTTCTTCCAGCACACTGACATTTGTCCGCCTGTCTTCCCAGGAGATTTGCGAGATTTTTTGGAGGCAACGCTGATGGAATCGTTCCAGGTGTTGCATGTGACGTCTGTAGATAGTCCACGTCTCGCAGGCATATAGCAGGGTTGGGAGGACAATAGCTTTATAAACAAGCACCTTGGTATCCCTACGGATGTCCCAGTCCTCAAACACTCTCTGCTTCATTCGGAAAAATGCTGCACTCGCAGAGCTCAGGCGGTGTTGTATTTCGGTGTCAATGTTGACTTTTGTGGAGAGGTGGCTGCCAAGGGAGCGGAAATGGTGAACATTTTCTAATATATACGGCTCCGGCCCAGTGTACCTGTCCGAACATATCTCCTTCTATGTCCCACCTCGGAGTTCAAGATCTTCGGGGGAGGCCCTGCTCTCGGCCCCGCCTCTACCACAAGTGAGGCTGGTGGGGACGAGGGACTGGGTCTTCTCGATGGTGGCCCCTCGCCTGTGGAATTCACTCCCCGGGGAAATTAGGTCATTAACATGCCTCCTCTCCTTCAGAAGGAAGCTGAAAACATGGATATGGGACCAGGCCTTTGGGTAATCTGGCAGACTGACAAGATAAGGACGACCAGAAATTGGAAAGGACTATGGTAATGCTGAATTGACTTGCGGATATCAGAACTCGGTGAACGTTGGCCACTAGATTGGCTTTTAATTGTTCTTGTTTTAATTGATTGTTTTAACTACTGTGGTTATTGCTGTTATGTAATTTATCTGTTGAATTGTTGGCATCGAATTGTGCCGGTTGTAAGCCGCCCTGAGTCCCCCCTCGGGGGTTGAGAAGGGTGGGGTAGAAGTGCCCGAAATAAATAAATATTTATTTGTCGTGTCAGATCAACCAGTCAGTTATATTACATTTCTAACAGAACAAAGCAAACAAACAGATAAAATACAACATTTGTGAGTTTGGTAGTTGGTTAAATGTCCTTTGACCAGTATCTGGCCACTTGGAGTGCTTCTGGTGTTGCTGCAAGAAGGTCCGCCATTGTGCATGTGGCAGGGCTCAGGGTACATTGCAGCAGGTGGTCAGTGGTTTGTTCCTCTCCACATTCGCATGTCGAGGATTCCACTTTGTGGCCCCATTTCTTGAGGTTGGCTCTGCACCTCGTGGTGCCAGAGCGCAGTCTGTTCAGTGCCTTCCAAGTTGCCCAGTCCTCTGTGTGCCCAGGGGGGTG